GGCAGACAACCAAGAGAGGTACCGAATAACTTAAATCAGACTCAGCAAATTGGCCCGAGCCCAGTGCCTCTTTCTCGTCAAACGTATATGTAATATCTCATATATAGCACGATAGAACGATTTAGATTTTTTCAGAATCAAACATATACCGCACATACGAGTCGTCTGGTCAGACGTTAGAAAACAGTTAGTACAAACATATGTTCTTGATTGTGTGCGCAAATGAATATTGTTCAAATCATAGCAATATCACGGCGGTTTGTAAATAATCCAGTCTGGACCCGTCAAACAAGTGATTGAAACCAATAGTAATAATCATCGCAATCGGGACACGATCTGCTCTGTTACAATCAGGGATCTACAATCAAATTGGGATCTATTCCAACCTAGATCCCCACGGGAATAAACTTAATTGTCAATCTAATCATTTAGAAGACCACCAACACTACATTACATATATTCATCAGCCAAATAGCTGTCGCCACTTCAAAACTGGCCCGAATATTGTTTGGAGTCCATTAGAAAAATAACGTTGCAACTGACGCCGTACGCGTGTACAATGAACACGTGACGGTAATGTGACGTCATCCAGCGCGTTTATCCATCTTGGTTGTTTCATCTGGCGGAAACTCACTTGGGAAAACACACAACCTTCCCATCCCAACTGCAATGTAATCAAACTGATGTACCACGAATGTGACAAAAGGTCATGTGCATCGATTTCTCTGCTTATCATATTTAGTAGCATCGTTGCTGAAAGACCACATCAAAGTACCATTCACGGAGTTGTCGTGCCCCGCCATAAACCTTATCCCCAATCAATGCAATCAGGTATCTGGGTGGGAGCGTTCCCCTATAGTCAGGGTCTGGTCAATGGGATAGCAAACGTGGCGCATTTATAGTAATGTATTTACACTTAACAGCTTGTAAGCAGAGTACCTAACAATTCCATGAAATGAAATAGCCACACATACATAATGATGTGTTCGCCAAGAGTTGTATATAATTCGGGTACATAAGTCCATCATCTGGATTATGCTTAACGGCGCTGTCGTATCGAGATGACGACCACTTGAGTAAGAACTAGTCCACCCATCTTCAAATTGCGCAATGTATACATATCATTCACATTGAATGTGGTAAATATGTGTAACGCCTTCCTGGTTGTTGTAAAGACACAAGGTATAATTACAGTGATTATTGATGATTGCTTTGTCAAAAACGAGGACATAGTCTTCGCTTTTGCAATCCTCAGATCACATGTGACACAGTCTATCTTTCGATTGTTTCTTGTTTAACGCTGCATTCAACAGATTTTCAAACACATGTATATGACGGCTGCCCGTAATTTATCGAGTCTGGGTCGGACAATCAGGTGATTGATATTATGAGCACAATCCCACGCCATCACGCCAGGATGACAAGCAATCAACCAAGTGACCACCCGATGGTGGGGTAGCCTAGTGGTTAAGGCGTCCTCTCGCCACGACGAAGCCCCCCCCCCCCCCCCCCCATGGGTACAATGTGTTAAGCCGATTCTGGTGTCATTTTCAGAATATGTCAAATACTAGTATTGATCGGGTGGTCAGGCTCGCTGACTTGGTTGATGCAAGTCATCGGTCCAAATTGCGTGGATCGATCCTCATGATGTCAATCACTCGATTGTATGGTCCAGACTCGATTATTTACAGACCGCCGTCATATTGCTGGAATATTGGTTAGTGCGGCGTAAAACAACAAACAAACAAACTAGTATTGATACTGGTGTGAATACAATTGTTTTTTTGGTTGTTCTTCAACTGTAGGCGTAACGTCTCACTAACTTAATTTGTGGCGCCCTAAACATTCGGGTGGCGTATTAAACTACGTTCTTAACGCACATTTACCTGAGGTCGTCCTTGGATGGTCTGCTAGAGTCATAAGTACCTGGGTTCCACAATATTGGCATGAAAGTCTATTCGACCTATGTTGGCATTTTTGCTCAACGTAAAGCTGACACGCCGTTATTTGAGGAAAACACTGTTCAACAACGACTCACTCACTCGTATACCGACAGAGAGTTGTACTCCACAATTCCGGCTGCCATGAGCGGTCGGTGACAAATTGTCTTAAGACGGGCAACCGAATCGGGGGTGGACAGAAACTCCTTTGATATTCGTGCATACTGGTATCCAGGTATTGTCAGCCTGCAATACATCCAACCTTAATAGGTTATCCTTGCCCTTATAGAAGCATCTATATTGCTAAGTGATATGCGTTATTCTAAATTCAATTCTCTATCATCACTTGTCTTTGTTACGGAGAAAGTGTTTGCCACCTATATGGATTGGATTGAAAAATCCCAAACCGTGTACATACGTCATACGTAAGTCATATATGAACACTGACAAACGTTCATTCTGAATCCCTACCTACTAACGCGGCTCTATTGTAGTAACAGCTGCCACTCCTCGTCGACAATAGACACTTTGTCGTTATTGTTTTGGGGTTTTGTAAATCATATGTCACAAAATTCATTAGCCTGTGGGGAAATCTTTCCATTCACAAATAACATGCATTGCAAGCTGCTGATTGGGTGTCCCCATCAAAGAGCTGTATCTTACCTATAGCGCCTTTCCTTCTTATTTTTTGTTTTATTTTTCTTACCTTTTGCACAAGTGCACGAGCGTATGGACTTTACACTAAGAAATTTGTTTGTTTTACACCGCACTAAGCAACATTCCAGCTATATGACGACGGTCTGTAAATAATAGTCTGGACCAGACAATCCACTGATTGACATCATGAGCAACCATCTACGCAAAGAGATACGATGACATGCATCAATCAAGTCAGCTGGCCTGACCACCCGATCCCGTTAGTCTCCTCTTAAACAGGCATGAGTTGCTGCAGATCAATTCTAATCCGGATCTTCAGGGGGCACTTAGAAGTAGTATCGGGGTTACAAACGTCATATTGCTGGGATTTTGTTAAAAGCGGCGCAAAACTCATCTCACTCACGAACACGGTGTTGTATACTGTATTGCACCTGTGTTCAAAGTGACGATAGCTATGAACAAGTGTGAATGACGCCTGGAGCCATCACTGATTTGCAGTGATTCCTTCATTTCATTTTCTGTTTGTTTGTTTGTTGTTTAACGCCGCACTCAGCTATATTCCAGCTCATGGTCTGTAAATAATCGAGTCTGGACCAGACAATCCAGTGATTGACAGCATGAGCATCGATCCACGCAATTGGGATCGATGACATGTATCAACCAAGTCAGCAAGCCTGGCCACCCGATCCCGTTAGTCGCCTTTTACGACAAGCATTGTCGCCTTTTACGACAAGCATAGTCGCCTTTTACGGCAAGCATGGGTTGCTGAAGACCTATTCTACCCCGGAATCTTCACGGGTCTTCATTTTCAGAGCTTGTTTGCCTTCTACATCCAATGGAATCTCCTTTGGAGTATAATTCTCCTTTTATTCTCTGGCGTTGACGTTTTATAGTATATTTACTTTTATAAAACAAAATGAATACACTACATATGAACTATCCCATGGGTTAAGTCTCGTATTTCTATAACACAAACAACGCTTAACAACCATGAAGCATGTTAAGGTTAAAAGTTGTTATTGATATATTTCCACCCACATTTATGACTTCGTTGCATACGATAATGAAAACACACATGGTATATTCAATGATTATGTTCAACCACCTTGTTACATTATATAAGACCCGTCTGCAGCCTGCAACCCATGCTCGGCCTAAGAGACGACTATGCTTGTCGTAAGAGGCGACTAACGGGATCGGGTGGTCAGTCTCGCTGACTTGGTTGATGCATATCCCCATTGCGTCGTTCGGTGCTTATAATGTCAATCACTGGATTGTCTGGTCCAGACTCGATTATTTACAGACCGCAGGCATATAGCTGGAATATTGCTGAGTGCGGTGTTTAACATATAAATCCAAACTTAAGAGTAAGTGAGTGAGTGAGTATGGTTTTACGCCGCTTTTAGCAATATTCCAGCAATATCACGGCGGGGGACACCAGAAATGTATTGGGGACATGTATTGGGGGCTGTGCTATTCAGATGTACACAGTTTTTTGTAACACATACGGGAATCTACTTATGGGTTCAGTCAAGTTCCTTTCCCCTGGGGTTGTTCACACGTCAGACGGTATTCGATGGCAAAATTGTATTGTTTTCTTTACCCACTGGGATTAAATATTTTATTTAAACAAATCGCTGATAGGTAAAAGGTCACCCGGGGTGTGTTATGTCGATATATCGCACGGATTAAATACACCCCCAAGTGAATCAATAACACATACTATACAACAAAATGATCAGCGGGGAAGATAACGATAAACGAATTGATTAATCTCCACTGTTTAAAACATTTATCTTCAATACTGAGATCTGTCATGACAGATCAAGTCATGATGACGTAGTTTCGTTTACAAACATATCAAAGCGTTCACACTCTCAGGTTCAGTGGGTATGTTGAGTATATCACAGGGGTACATTGGTCATATCACACTCAACTGCTGGGCAAAAGAAAGTATATACATGCACCCATGTTTGATGATGGCTAAAAATGAAACAAATAAGACATGGTTTTTCGATGGTGATACGGGTTTCATAGTTGTGTTTAGGACCTCAGTGTTACAGCGACTGTTTTCAGCCTACTAGTAACATTTTGATAACGTTTGTCACGTTTTGGTCAAATCCATTTTTCAAATTATGCTTTCTTTTTCCCGGCAGTTTAGTAAGCAGCTCATTTCGGACTAGTGGTTTATGTATAATAACTAGTCTCTCTTGATGTCCACTAGCCTCTGATCCCTGTATCCTGTTAACATATTTAGAGTTGATTTGAATCCTTATCGTCATGAATTATTTATCAGGATTTACTTATATCAGGATTACAATAGTTACAAAGTATCAATGTGAAGTATCCACAAAGAGATAAAGTATTCTGCAACGTAATTAACAAGAGACGAATCATACTTACAGTTTCGTGATGTTGACTGATAAGTTGTTAGGAATTTCCGTAATATTCTCCCCTTTGCAAGTGACACTCTCCGCATTATCAGCAACTTTCCAACAAAATGTTTCCTCTGCAATGGTCAGTCTCAGCAATTCAAACAGAAGAAAAAGGCCCAACATGATGATATTCACGCCTCTTCTGTTATCTCTACCAAACAGTAACTTTCATTATCTTCCTGTCGGTAACATGTACAGTTCTAAGGATTTATACCACGGATGATAGAATGAAATATCCCATTCATAAACGGGGGTTTTCCTTCAGCGAGTATCTTAAGAATGGCTGTGGTAGGTCTCCGGAGGACTCACTTCATACTGTTTAAACCCCTGGAAGAAAAATGGAATCGTTCAAGAAAGATCCGTTTCTGGCCTTAGACAATGACAGCTGTAGATCCACGTCAGAAGTAGGTATTAAGAGATTAATGGCTTGTCGATATTTCTCATTTGATTAATTTCCCCAAAATACGATTTGACGTGTGAATCTTAAACAGACAAATCCAAACAGACAATTTCTGCGAAAGTTTTAAATTGTTGTATTATTGTAATACACTGTACACAACTCTCAATGTGACGTCAAATATAGCATATATAACCTCACCTTAGACAGATATGCAATATTTAACCATGGTCGTTTATTCCATCCCGATTTCAATAGAAACCGCATCTGAGAGATTTGAGAGCGCGTACAAACGATTGGACTGGCTCTTGTCACGCTCAGAGTGAATGAATGTCGTCTGCTAGAGAATGTATGCCGGGTCACATGATCAATACTGATGCTACGCATGCGCAGCAGTTATTACTATAAACTTCCGGAAGCAGATAAATTGAAAGAATACCTGATGCTGTAAATTTTGTCTTGCTACCTTTGCCGGTCGATGTTGACACAAGATGAATTACTGTGTGGCATGTGTTATTTTGGTTTATTTTCTCCTAATATTAGTGCGCTCGGTGCAGGGGCATGCACGTTTTGTTTGTCCTCGGCCCCAAAGTCCGCGAACTGACATTTATGAACAGGTAGGTTTTACACATGTATGATAATTACGTGTTGAAAAAATGATTATTTATAAATGAAAACAACTGAAATTATCACGTGCTCTCCTTATGCATTTGTTGATATTAATAAAATTATCACATAACTGTAGTAATAATATTAAATGACTAAACGTGATACATCAATATATATCCTAACAAGGCCCTGTGCATAAGATATAAGCAGGAGAAGCTTCAAGTGTGTCTTTGTCTTTTTGCCTTATTTTTTTATTACCGAATATGCATTTCAAACAATAATTTTTAGAAAAGACATAACTTATAAAAATGTTTATATATATATACAATATCATATGTTGAAGGGCCACCTAGATATATATTTTGGGTGTCAAACATGAACATATGCCTACAGTACAAGCACTATTAGATCTGAGTATGTTGACAGTGTGTTATACAGTTGAAGAACATGTTGTTTATACATTTATCACACTGATTGGATGTGTTTATGAAACTGGAATAATGGACAATGACTATATATATATATACAACAAGTGTGAGATTAAAGGTGTTGGAAAAGGCTTCCGCAAAACACACCTGCCTGGACACAGCCAGTGTTCAGCCCATGCCTGTGCAATTCATGACAGGTAACAGCCAATGCGGGTATAAACTGGTTCATTCGAGATGCATCTGAAAATGCGAGTCTTTTTAAAGGGACAGTACATCAATGATTCTGTGTGTTGAAATAATTAAATAATTTTTGAGTGTGACGTCACATGCCCGATTCAGTTCTCAAACCAAAACAATAGATCTCCTCAGTGAAACCAACTACGCAAGCACTGCGCAGAGTAAGCTGGCTACAGTCTTGTATTATTAGAGGCAGATTATAGAGAACATGCATTATGATATACAAGTTAAAAGATAAATTGATACGGGCAAGTGTGTGTTGCATATCGTATCATCTGAGAACATTATTGATGCATCTATGTATTGGTGATTTGTGACATTCCTAATGATTACCTACTTATACAGAGACATTGTCTCAGCTGATGCATGTTATCGTATCCCAATTGCGTGGATCATTGGTAATGATCAATCTCTGGATTGTCTGGTCCAGACTCGATTATTTACAGACTGCTGTCATATAGCTGGAATATTGCTGAGTGTGGCATTAAACAAAAACAAATAAACAAACCTGATTGTTAAGATCAGCATCATATTACGATCAATACTTGATTGACAATGATTGATGGGATCAACATCTGATCAACACCTGATCAACACCTGATTGTTTGGATCAACACCTGATTTTTTTATCTGTATCAACTCAGACATCAAACTGACACACCGTGATATAACTGGAATTCTGTTGAAAGTGGCATTAAACCCAATTCACTCACTCACGCTATGTGTTTCAGTGGCCTACGAAGGAGTTAGACGGACCATGTGGACTCGGCAACGATGTCAATTTTGATGCAGAATATATGGAGGTGGAACCTGGACCCTTCACAGTCGTCTTTGAAGAAACAGTGTTCACTAAAGGTAACGTCCTAACAAAGTCTAGAAATACACCATAATTAATTGTGAATTGTTTTTGAGCTATTAGAGACAGGGTGTCTGGCATTTGAAATCCTGCTTGTTTCTTTAAGGGCTGGGATGAGTCTAAATGTACTACCCAGGTACCTGACCTCTATTTCCCGACCCAACCCAGGTACCCGCTGTAGTTCTCGAGAGATGGGTACCAAATGTTCATTTGGGAAATGTTTTACCAGGTCCCTGGCATAAACTATTTTGACACAGGTTTAAAAGGGCCAGATCATGAAAACACTGCAGTTTACTGAAGCTTAACCTTTATTCAAAACATGCAAAAGTCAGAAGGAATGGTGCATAATCAGAAAGAAATGTGAACATTAGCGACTTGTGTGACCATGAAGTTTTATTGTTATTGGAGAGCAGAAGGTTGGTGGTCCGACCCCTGGCCATGTCATACCAGAAGACGTTGAAAAATGGTACTTGTTGTTATCCTGCCTGGTGCTTGGCATTAAGGGGATCAAAAACGACTGGTGGGCTCTGAATCAGTGTACTGTATGTCAGTGGGGTATCCATGCTAAACTGTGACATGTCACCATAAACCGGCATAAGTCCAGACTAATACAAGCAGCCAGCACACACACACTCTCGCTCACTCACTAACTCACTCACACACACTCACTCACACACACATGCATGGGCGTCGCTACATAGGTGCAATAATCTACGCTACATTGAACTTACTCACGCACTCACTCACGCACTCAATCACTCACATACATACATGCATGGGTGTCGCTACATAGGTGCAATAATCTAGAACGCTAGGTTGAACCCCATTTTAAAACTTACCTATTGAATGTATTACAGCATGAAATAAAATTGATTAAGTATGAACTGGGATAAAATATATTACTTTCACTTTCAGAAGGCCCCTTCTCATCTTTTCTAATGGGACCCTTCTCACCAGTTAGGTTGTGAACATTGCCCAAACTAATATGTTAGGAAAAGTCAAAGCTCGAGATAAGCTGCGTATTTGCATAAAATTGGCATAAAATAAACTGAAATACACAGACAAATCAAATCCTTGTGTATCAAATACGCAACAAGAACTATGAATACACTATTGAAATAAAATTAATGCGTACATTATAACTATTAGATAAAATGATTGCGTACATTATAACCATTAGATAAAACGATTGTGTACATTATAACTATTAGTTAAAACGATTGCTTTCATTATATCCATTAGATAAAACGATTGCGAATATTACAAATGTTAGATAACATGGTTGTGTATCAGTCAATCACCAAATTCACTTACCGACAGTTACATTCGGAAAAGCTTCTGCGACAAACATACTGATAGACACCAATTGAAAAGCAAATCATGCCTAGTCAATATACATTTTGTATCTTAATTAGTCGCTGATTGGTGATTAAAGAAATAATCAAATTAACAAAAAAATGGCTTCTCGGAGAGGGAGCCGCAATCAGACGCAGACGGGTATACTACTATTCACATAGTATTAATGAATTACAAGGATTGTTATGAAACAGCTTTTAAGTTAAATACCCACATATACCCTCTAAAATTTGTGGATACCAAATCAAAATCCAACCCCTGGGTAAAATACCCAAATAACCAAAAGCTTATCTATAGCTTTGTAACGTAGGCACAACATGCTGCATGATGTGCATGGTGGAAGCCTGCCCTTCCTGAAGGACTAGTCAGTTGATGCACAGTCATCTTGGACAAACTGTTTTACAATATGGGATGTCGTCATTTATTGCTTTGTCGATGATCGGTATATTTTTAATGTCAGTTCTGTATCAATGTAAATTTTTGAATATCTATACAAAATTAATCATTCACTGCCACAGGAACATCGATAGACCATGATACTATACTTCTGAGTCGATGTATCGATACTAAACGTTCCTGTTAATGACAACCCTATTTACAATAACATCTTGATCGTGTTGAGATGAAAATTTATATTGTATGTTGAATATTTTTCTCATTTGTTTGTGTCTTCATTGTCTTAGCATGAGATCCAGTAACCATTAGATAAGACAGTTATAACATGATACTATGGTATACCATTATCTTGTTTGTTTGTTTGTTGTTTAACGCCGTACTCAGCAATATTCCAGCTATATGACGGCGGTCTGTAAATAATCGAGTCTGGACCAGACATTCCAGTGATTGAAATCATGAGCATCGATCCACCCAATTGGGATACAATGACATGCATCAACCAAGTCAGCGAGGCTGACCATCCGACCCTGTTACAACAAACACAAGGCACATGGGGTATATCATGGTGTATAAAGGCAATATTGGACACTGAAGTCAAGTCCATTCTGTTAACGTTAATTCCATCATTTGATTATTGTGTGTATGGGAAATGTTTCAGACCGTCAGATAGACTTTATTTGTTTAAAGGCCAATTGAACCATTGTACAAAATACATTTGCATCATATATTAATATATTTTGTATAAAAGTTACCTAATTAATATTTTTGTTGAGAATATGTACATTAAAGTCTTTCTAAACAAAAATGATGTCGGGTTAAAGGTCTTTGAAATTAATGTTTCCCTCCAACTTGTACATGGTGTATAAAGAGAACAATTGTATGTATAATCATGATAATGTTTGTTTGTTTGTTGTTTAACACTGCACTCAGCAGTATTCCAGCTATATGACGGTGGTCTGTAAAATTATCGAATCTGGACCAGACAATCCAGTGATTGACATCATGAGCATCAATCCATGCAATTGGGATTGATGACATGTATGAACCAAGTCAGCGAGCCTGACCAGTTGGTTGCCTTTTACGACAAGCATAGTCGCCTTACGGCAAGTATGGGTTGCTTAAGACCTATTCTACCCTGGAATCATCACGCGTCATCATGATAATGATTATATCATGACAGTGTTTACAGAAGAAAGCATCATCCTCAATATTAGCAACACAGGTTGAATACCAAGAGGATTTTGTCCACATCTAAATTTAGTTAACCTTCTATATTCACATTCACAATGTTTAATATTTGAAAATATTTTTTTGCAAAAAGAATGAGAGGTACTGCTATCTGGAGATGCATGCCGATCCTGACATGGATAATCCCAATCTGATATTCATTTTGTCAGATGAAGTAAATATTGCAGATGTTTTTATTGCTAGACTGTTTGACTATATTTACCCTTTTATTACCGTATTTTCTTGAGTATAGTGCGCACCCATGTTTAATGCGCACCCCCCTCTAGCGGGTTCAATATTTTGGAAAAAAAGAAATTTGAATATTATGCGCAGAAAAAATTTACACCGTACCCTTTCAGCGAAGTCCGGCAAACGAACAGGTGCTGAGAAACTTCGTCAGTACAAATTCGAAATTTGAGATAAAAAATCACCAGACATGTTTATTTACCGTTTAAATAGTATTTATTGTTCTGCTAGGCATTGTTTTGTATCTAGGGATAAAGATTACCTTGTGTATTTTCTCGTAAACTAAGCCGGAAACAGCAATCAGCTGTACACACGTTTTCTTGGAATCGACCCGTGATTCGGTCAAGACACACCCAATGATATAACTTTATAGGATTTTTAATGCAAGGATCGGCAACAATTGTATCTGAAACTATTTTTTTATCAGGAATAATATATTCCATTATTTTCTTAATTATATGCAGCCTTTACTAAACATATTTAAAATAATAATAACCCTAAGCGAAGCAGCTGATCGCTATTGCCGGGTATTATTTTTTACATGGAACCAGTCTGACCAGTCAACGTCAAGGCTCACGCGCACGTGATCGCGTGATCGCGACAATTTCATGTTGACATAGAATCGTCAAACAAAAACAAATATGACTTTTAACGAGTCAAAGTATATGTCATTTATGATATATGTATCCATTCTCTGTCAACTAAAGTTCATTTCAAGGCGTCAATAGCGGTATTCTGACCGTGGTTGCTGTTAATAACGGTGAGTTGTGCGATCTTCCGATCGCTTCACACACGATTTCGCCGAAATTAATAAAAACAATTAAAAAGGAATTTTGAATAAAATTAATGAAATAAGTTACAAACATAAGTCCAGATATACAAAGAACACTTTTTATAGCCAGACAGTGTTATGACATGATTAATTTGCGTACTTCAGTATGGATTTGTTTTGGTATGTTTTATAAACATCTTGTATGATGATCATAATAATAAACATCTGATTATATAAATATGTTTTAGACGGAATACTGTATTAATCTACAACTTCAATCTCATTAAAATCAGATCTTAGTTCTCTCTATCACAAAACATAGATCTGAGGACATCCCATTACGGGTCACATCAGAACGACCTTTCATCCAACCAATCAGAACGTCGCTTACCAGATCATGAAAGTGACAGTCGTAATGTGTTTTCTAATCATGCAACCTCGAATCTAGTTTGTCAACAAACTGCTTGTATCTAGCATCACTATCAATAAGTGAACATGTGGGCAGTGGGGTAGCCTTTAGCGTAGCGTTCCCTTTACCCGGCTCCCATGAACACACGTGTTGCTCATAAGACTGTTGGTGACTTGTGACAAGTCGATTCTAGAATTCTTAGCCGAGACATGCACATATTCATTGTAGTACTTGTACCGGATCACCTGCTACCCGTCTTCACAGTGGTATCCACCAATGCGCGGACCTCATACATAGTCATTCAAGGTTAATTGTTAGGTCACAACTCAACTTATCCTGGCTTACCAATAGTTATGAGGTTATTCAAAGGGTATCATAAAGTGTTCTGGGCATCGTGAGTAAATAAAATATTTATTATCCAGGGTAGAATAGGTCTTCAGCAACCCATGCTTATCGTAACAGGCGACTAACAGGATCTGGTGGTCAGGCTTGCTGACTTGGTTGATGCATGTCATCATATCCAAATTGCGTGGATCGAGGCTCATGACATCAATCACTGGATTGTCTGTCCAATCGATTATTTACAGACCGCT